CCCCCCCCCCCCCCCCCCCGTTGTTTGAATGAATGGAACCAGGCAGCATCACTTTTCTTGCAGGGCTGTTTCTCAAGGTCTTGCTTTTTGCTCTTCTATTTTCTATTGTCATTGTTGCTGCTGTTGTTATTGTTATTTTAATATATATTTTTAAATTTTTTGCCCTTCTGTCTTCTCTCATCTCCCATCCACCATCAAATCCGCTCCTGCGTTGGTGGGCTTCAGCAAGTTGGGGGTGGCCCTCAACACCCTTTCCCTTTCATAGAAACCCAAGCCTGATCTTGTAGGTTTTTTGAGCTAAAAAAAAAGTTCTACAGGTCAGGGAGGGTCATAACCTACAAAGTAAATGGCAGGAATGGCGAAAAATGTATATTTCCTCTTAATTTATATGACAGGGAGCCTTGGGAAGACCCCCACTCCCAATCCCACTGCATGTTTGGCAACAAACATTGTATCTGTATATAAAAATAGCAGTGCACATGCAAGCCGTCACTCCCTCAAATTGTTGCAAGCATGAAAAAAAATGGGGGGCACAGTTTGCTTTAAGTAGACATCCCACTTCACATCCACAGCCCATCAGAACAGCTTTTATGGAAACCCAACGGAAAGGAATCACACACCCTACCACATCAGCAAGTGGGGGGCTGTCTTGTTGGTTTCAAGCCTTCTCTTTCAGTGCTCACAAATGTCCTTGGGGGTGTGATCAGGCAAAGTGGGGCTTTTATGGTTCTCCTAAGTTAGGGCATCATACTCTGTAGCTGGTCCTTCCCTACCTTCTGCAGTCTTCTTGATTTTGTTCCTATACTTTTTGACCCACATGTACCCTTACAAACATTGTAAGGATTTGGGGTGGAGAAGATGTCTCTTTGTGAGGGGTGTGATGGAGCAGAGGAGGGGTTTGTACATATAAGGCAATATGGTGCACATTTTTGAAGTACTGTAACTGATTTTCCTCCCCCATACCTCCTGAGAGTATTTGTGAATTAATCAACAGTAAGGAAGAAAGCAAAGGGGTTGGTGGGAATTATTTAACTGTTAGAAAGGAAACTGAACCGCCCGAGTAGATCTCTTTCAAGTAATTATTTCTAGCAATTAACTCCTTTTCAGGGCTAAGCTTGCTAATCTAGCCAGCATTGTAACTGGTGAGCATCCTGGACAATGGTTTTTAATCGGTTCACAGTGTTCTGCTCCTCCCTCCCAACTGCCTGTAATCTCAACATGTTATCTTTCCTCCTCTGTTCCCTGGCTAGGAATTATATACTTAATAGAATGATTGGTTTTGAAAATCTCATTTTTCTTGCATATGCCATAGTCAGAAGGAAACCCTTTGTGTTCCTTGAACCATAGCCTTAAATATCCAGATATTCATGTTTGGCCCCAAGCTGAAACATGTTAGCCATTTGGGGGGTGGGGGTACAAAAGCTAATATTGCATCTTTTCTCCCAACTGCCAATCTGGCTGCCCTGGGTGGTCTGGCATTTTTTCCGGAAGTTAATCCTCTAAACAGGAAGCTGTTTGGGATGTTCCGGTCTCTTGTCCAGAATATTCAATCCTGGAATGTTGGCTTTTGCTCATACCTATTATTACATTGGCTGTGTCCTCACATAATGCTAAGCCAGGACTTTTTAACCATTATGTGTTGAAAGATCCAGAGTGCCTTCATTTATACAGCATGCTAAATAATAGATAGGCTCATTGATCATGGAAAGCCAAGTGCCAACCAAATAGCGTTTTGTTTAGATGAGCTAGTGAATGTCAACCATAGTTAAACATTTTATCTTGACTTTTAAAAAATCCCCACATGTAAGATAGCTTCTCTACCTCTGATTGAGAGCTAACAAATTGTATCTTTGCATACATATTCTTTAGTGTGAGCAACATACTGGGCAGAGCAAACTAAACCATAGTTTCCATGATACATTTAAATCCTTATCTTAGGGTAAAGGCAACAAAACCATGGTTATTGCAAACCCAAATTAAGCTTCTCTTTGGATAGTGACTCTACTTTTGCTGGAGTTAAACCAAAACGTTCACAAATGTATGTTTGCACAAGGCCTGTGATGAGTAGCTGTGGAATTCCTGATTTCTCCAACCCAGTGTTCCTCAACCTGGGCAGCTTGAAGATGTGTGGCTGGGGAATTCTGGGAGTTGAAGTCCACACATCTTCAAGCTGCCCAGAGTTGAGGAACACTGCTCCAACCTACTTATTGGATTAATTGCCTTCTCCCCTCCCCAACCAATCTGTCCCTTTATTAACAATTCTTAACCCTTCCAGAAACTGACATCCTTTAGGTTAGAGATGCAATCAAGATTCAACATCGCACTCTTCCTGCTAAGGCAACCTGCTTCCAAGCCGTAATGTGTTAGCTCCATGCACAGAACCAAGCGCATTTTCTATTTCATGCCTGCCTCTACTGACCACCCCTAAAAGGTAGCAGTGTAGATTTCATCATACTTTCCTGAAGTATGTGTATTTAAAATTAAATGGGCAAAGCTAAGAACTGTCTGACAGGGGAAACGGTACTGGGACTGTACCATTATACCAAAATGAGCTAGTTGTGGGGGGCAGGGAAGGAGAAATGGCTGCAGTTCTCTTCTCCCACCATCCCCACTTCATGTTCATGTCTAAGCAGCAGCCCTGATTTGAAGGCATCCACGTGTGAACTCCCAGTAGGCTTAGCAAATTGCCTGCGCTGAGCACACCTGTTCTTCACTGATGAAATCCATTGTCAGATGGAGAAAGATCCTACAGCACTTCTGTCATTGGTGTTTCTCTCTCTGCAGCTTTACTTTAATTTGGTCCATTGGTTGCAGCTCCACATGTTTTGTGTGCTTGTGTGCATGCATGCATGCATGCGGCTAGGGTCATTACCTCCATCATGCTGCAACTCTGCAGAAACGATTCATGGTTGCTGTGTGTCAGAATCAAGAAACACCTGCATGCAAAGCCCCATAGCATTTCCATGTTGACCACCTCGTTGTAATAATGACCCAGCTATGATCCATAATTTGTACCCTAATGGCCCTTATGTGGTTCAGATTTCTTATTTAACAATGATTAAGTCGGTGTGCTAGCTTTTTGTTATTTCCATTTCATTCCTATTAGAAAAAATAAATACATTTGTATTTTAATTCTGCTCACAAAGGCTTTGAAAAGGAGCCAAAAGTACTAATGAGAGAGCCTGACAACTTCCATTTGGCTTAGCTGTTTATTTTCCCGGCCCTAAGATTATTTTGCCTGGTTTCCTCCCCAGTTTATGAATTTTCAAGAGAGTCTGCATAAAAATTTGCATGTATTTTGGGCAGTTTTTCCTAATATATCTACTTTTGTATGCAATTTTCCAATAGGTGCATTCTGTGGAAGCAATTTCTCACTAAGGGTGGGTTTGCCCAAATAACACCATTTTTTTAATTCACAAAACTGCAAATTTCAGTGTATGATTGTTTTCTAGTTTGTACAGAACTTAAAGATGTAAGCTTCAGTTAAAATGTTTGCCATACAAATGTTCTTCCCCATTTCCAGCCAAAAGAAGACAGTTGAAACCCGACGGGCATCAGGTTGTATGTAGATTATGGGCATCGCCTCCCCATTTTGTAGCCCCAAGGATTCACCAAAATTGTACTTCTGAAATTTGGCTGCAGAAATATTGATTTTCAGGGATACAAAGGGCCCTCTCCTTTTTTTTCCCTTTTTGCTAAAATACCGGGGGGAAATTAGTGCATTAGAAGTGCTTGGTGTATCTAAAGTATTTTGCTCCCCAAACTGGGTGAACATTTCAGCTTCACTCATTCCAGGGACATCATCAAATCACCCACCTTGTCCCCTGCAGAATTCAGAGGCCAAGGGGAAAAATTAACATTAAATTAAAAATTAAAGTACAAATGCCCACAAAGGTAATGTTTACTTGGACTTACTAGCAAATACATGCCAGTTGTTTAAAAGAAAAAAAAACATGGACTTGCTCCGAGCCAGGAACTAATTTCTAAAGTACTTTTTTTCCTAGGGAAAAAGAGGAGAGGGCTAGGAGAGTTGAGAAAGAGGAAAAATTTCCCCCACTCATTTACCTCCATTTTCATCCTGATCTTGTGAAGATTAGTTCCTGTGCATAGCTAAAGAAACTCCAACCTGGAAGGAAGAATATTGCCATTTGCTTTTTGAATGCTCCTGAACTTCTCTGTTGTGGTTTAACCCATCAGCATAGTAGCAAAAACCACCAGGGCTATTTTTGTGCAGGGGGAGGGGAGGAGAATGAGGGCAGTCATATGGCAAAATTAGTTCCTAAACCGCTTTTAAAAAATTAGGTCAGTTAAAAGATTTTGCCCTACAACCTTTTGACCTCCTGTTTACTTAATGCTAAGCCTCTCAAATGAATGGGAACGTGGGTGGCCCTAATGCCCTTTGGTTGTTGAATAGCATCCTGTCACCCCCAGGTCTTCCAACCAGTGCATTTGGGGGAAAGGTACTATCAGCCTTGATGGCAGGGCGACTGCCTCTGAAGGCCATCTGCTGGGAGACTGGTGGGCTTCTGGATGCAGGTGGTGGGCCACGGTGAGAACAGGCTGCTGGACGAGATGGACCAGGGGTCTGATCCAGCAGAGCACTGTTTGTGTTCATGTGAATGATGTTTAATTTAGCGTGAGCTTTCAACATGGGAGAAGTAGCCAGAATCATTTGAGCTCCAAGACATGTTGTTGTTCACATGCAAAAGTCCAACAGCCTCTGAGTTTAGAAACAAATGCCATGAAGCTGGGAGAAAGGTGCAGAAAGAACGACCTGAAAGATGGAGTGGTCTTCCCAAGGCTCTGATAATTCAGTGGAACCTCCTGTGTGAAGGTAGTTGGAGAATTAAGAGCTCTGGCAGG